ATATATATATATATATATATATAAAATATGTTTTAATTTAATTGTAAAAAGTTTATAATCAATACACAAATCTTTTTCTAACATATCAGAACTATATTTACAAATAGGAGACGATTATTATTTAATCAATATACGTTATCTTCGAATGCTCAAATGCAATTTTTCTCAACTACTACAATACAGCGCAGCCTCAAGCCGTTCTGCAATTACGTAAGCATAGTTGCATAAATGGTTATAAGAATTAATCAATCACAGTCAAACATGAGAAAAATATTCGATTGCGATTGGTCAATTCTTATAATTACAACCATTTACAGCTACGCTTACGCAATTGTAGAATGGACTTTACATTGAATATCGATTGCAATTTTTACTAAAAGCAATACATAAGTTATATATACCTCGTGATTACGTGAGGTAATCCGAAACGTAATCATCGTCAGCGCGTTAATGAATCGGATCAATCATTAGGGGCTGCGCACAATCAAGGAATAGGAACAGAAAATAGAAATAGGAACAGAGAATAAGAATTTCAATCTATCAGAAACTGTGTATTTTATAGTGCACCGTTTTTAATTGGTTGAAATTTTTATTCTCTGTTCTCGTTCTTATTCTCTGTTACTATATTCCTTGATTGTGCAGCCTCTTAGTATTGTAAGAACTATGTAAGCGCCGTGGAGGTGAATCGGATAGCCAATGATTGATCAATTTCTAATATTAAATTAGTACTTCTAATGAACAATTGATTGTGAAATAATAATTATCCTTAACTGTTCTCTGATCAATTGTACTAATTTACACGCGTCCAAAGTTGCAAGCGACCCAAACAGCGCAGAATATTTATAAAATGTTTACAAAATATTTGTACTTATAAAACTTATTTTAAATATTTTATAAATATTTTTGTGATTAGATTGCACAGATTATAAATATTTATTATAAATATTACAAATATGAAATATTTATTGTAAATATTGTAGTAAATGCTAGAAAATACTTAATAAAAATTATAATCCAAGTAAAAAATATTAAACATATATATTTAAATTTATCATAAATACTACATAAAATATTTAGTCTATCATTTAATAATATTTCAAATATAGCTTTATATGAAATATGTATAAAATATTTATGTGACATTTCAAAAAATGAATAATGAGAATTTATCATAAGTAATATTCTGCCCTGAAGAAATGTTTGGAAATTTCGGTTAATAAGCTCTTTTGAAAATTTTAATATGACAATCCTATAGTATGATCAAAAATTCTTTTTATTCTCATTAAAATGTCATTCTCATTGGGACTTTTTATTAATTTAATCAAAACATTTTTATCAATGCATTTACAATTGTATCAAAAAATATTCTGTTTGTCAATATTGAGGGTTTATATACTGATCACAAAATGCTAATGAAAAGTCCGTGTAAAGAATTCTATGTGCCAAGATATTCTTTTTTCATCTGTTTTCCTGAGAGGATCGAAACATTTTTTTTTTCTTTTCTTTTTTCGTTATATAAATAGTATAACATTTCTCAAAAGAATATGATTTGCAAAACGTAAAGCTGTGAAATGTTTGCTGCTCGCAATTAAATATAAAATCATATTTATATAAATAAGTAATTGCATGCGGAGTAAAAAATTACATGTTCACATAGTTGCTGAAAAGCAAAAATATATTACTATTTTAAAATTCAAAACGAACGATTATTTTACCGTTATAGTTTTATCGTCAATCTTACTTTTTATATGTATATATATCAGTGATTAATTAACAAGTAAAATAAGTCACAAATCCTTATTTTACAAATTCCATGTACATACGATAATCGTATTCATGTTAAATATGTATATGCGTGTTTATATAAATATATATATCACAGAATATAATACAATCACGATACATCTTATATTAAAATATTTGCGAAACAGTTTGAGAAATGCACATATAACACATTTACGTCTTGAAGACAAATCTAAGTTTCTGTGTTATAAAAATAAAATTAGTATAAAGAATCTGCAAGATTTTAATCTTTAAAGGGGCTTCCACCTTTAATGGCTTCTAAAAATCGTTTTTTTTTTGCTAATTTTATTCTTACATGTGTGTAGAATATCCTATTGTAAAAGGATTTTTTGAAATTCGCAATATTAATGGAACTACGAGTTCAAATATGTAAGGGCGCGTGGACTCTCCAAACGCTTGCCGGCGCAACAGTATTTGTAAATCCTGTTCAGGTCACAATTCAAAGAAAACCAATAGATGTCGGTTGTAGTCTAGTCTTTGAAGATCCTATTGAATTTTTTGAAAAAGAAAGTTTATTATATGGCCCCATATGGTGTAGAATAATCGTAAGTGCATTGAAACTATTGGTATAAAAATATGAATAAAATGAAAGTAAAACTTTAAACGCGTTTTTCTCGAAATCATATTTTTCGACTTGATGGAAGTGATAATTAAAAAACTAATTAAGACAGTATCTTGGTTTTTTTCCTTTTGATTCTAACATTTTTGCGCATGGCATGAACTAGAATTAAGTTTTTACAACAAAAAGTCAATTTTTTTATGAACAAAAAGGTAACAGATTTTGTTTTGACAAAAATCAAATCTTTTTTTTTAAATGCCGCCATTTTTATAAATTTCATGTAATTCACTTTATTCTAGTTCATGCCATAGCGACACTATAATTAATAAAAATCAAAGAAATTTTAATTTCAGATTATTTGCACACAGACTGTCTGGAATCACTTCCACCATAAAGGCACGTTTTTCCGAAGACTTCTACTTCGATTCCCATTTTAAGATATTAAACTACATCTTTTTATAAATAAAAAATTTTTTGTATTCTCTAAATATTAAATAATTTTATGCAAAAACCTGCATTTCTCTATATTACGAGTATATGCAACAGATTTTATTTTAATTCATAAAAAAAACTAATTTTACGACCGTCAAAGGTGAAAGCCCCTTTAACGATTAATTAGATGTCATTCGTGTCCTGCACGTTTCTTTCTTTGAAAAACTAAAAATATCAAATAATATTATAATATTTATATACAATTTGTTTAAATATACAACACTCTATAAATAATTTCTAAAGATGTTAAGTATAATAAATATAATAAATATAAGAATCACTTAACCTTCAACTACTGGTGAGATACAAACGTATCCCATCGCACACAATTTCGCAATTATTTCTCGCATGGCACAAGCGACGTTATTGTTACGCCTCCGTATATTCTTAATGTTGATTCATATCTCACACTAGGAGGATACACGCAACAGGCACGTGCTTATAAACAGAAATATTGTTTTTTGGAGTACGTTTGTACCCCGCGAATGATGTTACGCAAATATTTTTTTACTTTATCTTTCTTTTTAGATAATTTTATCCATCCATGAATCACAATATATTCAAGGAACAGATCAAGATACTACTTCAGAATTATATGTCAGTTATGCATGTGATGAATAGATAGACACATAGACTGTAATTTATAATCAAATGTGTAACATATGTTCTAAGGCAAAACAGATTATTTTTTAGCCTTTTAAAGTTGATGGTGATTTTTTTTCTTTATAGATTTTGTCAATAAGTATTTGTTGCTAGTAAAATTCATTAGTAGACTGATTGAAAGTGAATTATAATCTAAGATTACTATTATTGGCAAAAAAAGATATCCTTAATCTTGTTGAAAGTTAGAAGAAAATCTTTATTTTTGTTATTTAGAGTCCTACAAACTTTATTGTCTATTATTGTTTGTAATAAATGATTATTTTTCAGTTTCAGAATATTTATTTATTATATCAGACCAAACAAACACCAACTTTAAATTGCATTGCAGTTAAAATTCTTATTCAAATTTGGAGTACAGAACTATCCCACGGATGTGGTTGTGTTGGTCGGATTTTACCGGTGAAGTTGAGAATTAATAGTACATATTTATGTATTTGTTGAAATGAATGACCAATATATGGTGTGCAGTAGATTCGGAAAACCATCGTGTGCGTAATATAAGGGTTAATATTCTGTTAATATTTCTTAAGAAAAATCATTCTCGAGAAAAATATGAAAAAAGAAGAGATACCTCGTCGAGTTGCAGGCATTTGCCCCATTCAACCAGCGTGATTTTGTGATCGTTATTGATGTCACAGGAATCGAGGAAGGGCGCGATGCAGTGTTCGAGGGCCATCAAGGGCGCCTTAATCGGGAAGAGCTCGTGCCTAGATACCGTTCGGTCATGTGGGTGGCCGTCCAGGTCGCACCACTTCCAAATAGCTGCGTTCGTCCAGCGTAAAGTGTGATTGGTCTCAGCTTCGCGTTGCATCTTCAGATAATGCGATGACAACTCTTGACGGTCTGCCAAATCGCGCATGATGTTGAATAGCCAGTCGCGCATTCGTCTGGGAAAGTCGGCCATGTCCTCTTCCTTGCACATCTGCGCGTATTAAAGAATTTCGTATATACATAAATGTATCGCGTAATCGAAAAACGCTTTGAAAACATATATGCTTTTGATATTTTATCGTTGATAATAATTTTTCTATTTTTAACTCTCTAGAGCTGATGCCCAAATTTGTAACACATTTACTGACGCTCAATCTATATATGTATATATATATATGTATATATAATCTCTTGGGGAATAATATGTTCAAAATGCAAACATAAGGGTACTTAAAGCAAGATTGTGAATCAAGACGTCTTAAAGATGTCATTAAGACATCTTTTAAATTGTTCTCTGAGCTATATAATTTATGTCAATTAAAAGGTACTAATTAATTTCAAGAAATCAAAACAACTCGTGTAAAAAAAGAAATATTACACTGAAAGAAAAGATTAACTGAATATAGCATTTTTAATTCGATGCAGCAGCCAATTAAAAACGCTGTGTCATATTTTACTCTATCTAATTTGCTGCAGCAGCGAATCCAATCTTTTCTTTCAGTGTGAGGATATTTTAATAACAAGGATAATACGAGATTTATAGATGTAACATAAAAAATATTAAATTTTTTTACAAGGAAATTTATAATTGAATAAGTTCAACAGACCTATAAGTTAACTCTGAAAGTTTAAAGTTATTTTCAGACGGAAATCACTGAGATAGATATGCGAGTTAACAGACGGAAAAATGTTGTGTGAGTACGGTTTATTGTGTGAAAATAATATGTATGGTTTTATTGTATAAGGAGCGTGTTCTGTCACAAACCTGACAGAATGATACTTACAGGCATCTGTCGGCACTCGCCATAGTATACGATGTGGACATGTTGATAGTCGGGACCTCTGCACCTGGCGTCACCGGTGTCGCAGAAGCAACGCGCCTGATAGACCTCACAGTCACTGCCCAAGGTCTCATTGTAGTTGGTGCAGACCTTGCGACGCGGATCGACCTCCTGGTTGCAGAGCTCCACGCAAACGCACTCGGCCGTGCCCTCCTCCGTATTCTAAAATCGAAGAAATGTCACTTTCCTTTTTATTCCTGTCTGTCTTAAAGAGAGGACAAAATTCTTATTTCACATTTCGTGAACCCAATCTCTATATATCCCTTCTACTTTCACGTTTGGCACTTATGTCCATTTCTATCAATGTAGATTAATTTTAATCTCAATTCAATTTAAACTATTTATATTTTTCACATTTTCCTAATTCTTCAAAAGTAGAAAAAGATGAAAAGTAAGTTGAATCGTATTAAAGTTAATTTACATTTGTAGAAACGCCCTAGTTGTGTTGAGCATACATTATTACTTTATTAGAAGTTGACAAATCACAAAAATATGAATATTAATAAACAAATAAACGTTGAAATTTATGGGTCGAATCTTGACAGAGAAGACTAGAAATTCAATTCTACAAAAAAATTATTTCTTTGAAACGAAAATAATTTTTTTAAATACGGGCGAAGAAATATTTCTTTGAAATGAAGATTTTTTTATTTGTAGGTGAATGTCAGAAGGCAATCTTAAGTTTCTTATTTATTAATATATAGTATGTACAAATTCACATTGAATTATTTAAGCATTAAAGATCGTTATGGGTCTTTAATTCCCATTTCTTATGATTGTTTTCTTATTTGTTTTTGGATATACGCGGAACATCATTATTGAGCCTTGTTTATATTTATATATATATATATATGTGTGTGTATAAAATATATATAGCAATATAAAGTAATTATGATTGATTCATAAATAAAAGAGAGCTTTCTCGATGAACCTTGCAAACACGACCAGCGCCGCAATGCTTGTCCATGCACGGGTCCTCGAGCAAACGCTGCTGCTTCGATCCAACCTCGTTTCTGCCATTTTCAAGAATGACCTCAGCCTCCTCCGCCGTCGCCGCCTCCTCGGCTATTTCGTCAGCCTCCAGCATGTTCATGATCTCATCTTGCACGGGTGCCTCTGTCGTGGTCGTGCGACGCCGATATTTTCGTCTGCGCTAGGAATCGATTAATATAAACTTCAATTAATACTCTTTTTCTTTCTTCCTGCTTCGTACTTTGTAATATTATATTTCTAACGATAGAAAATAAGCGAGTAAAATACTGTAGAAAGTTTTCCGTACTTCTCGCGTTGTCATTTTTTTTCCAAGAAACAGAAAACTTTGAAAATTTCTCGTTGTAGTGCACAATATTTGAATTACTCAAGTTTACATCTTTTCTCTATAAACATGTTATATTTAGCATTATCACCATTATTTATCTCTTCAAGTTTTATAGAATGAGAATCTTACTTTAAAAAAATGAAAATTGAGCTAGTCTTAAAAGTATAGCACAATTTTCATTTTTCAATTTTTAAGAGTAAAATTTTACTCTTCGGAATGAAATTTACTTTAAAAGTTTTAAACCATAACATTTTACATTATTTACATACAGAGAAATGCTAACAAAAAATTTAGACGGTATCTAAGGAATTAAATTAAAAAATATTATACTTTAATTTATATACAGTGTGCTCAAAAATACTTTATAATTATTAAAATTCCTGGTTTTTAAAGGATTTTTAAGTAAAAGAAATTAATTTTACTTGCTAAATTAAAAATCATATATTCTGATATTTATTCTTAACAAAATAAACTTCATATATTTCGAACATTTGAAGAACAGATATTTTTCTGTTGTAACACTCATAAAGGAAGATTTAAATGTTCCCTACAAATTACTTTTGAGCGCTACTGCACTAAAAATAATTTAAAGATCTTAAAAACACATTTAAAAAAATATAAAAGTATTTAATAATAAATATTTACTCAGCAAAAAAATGATAGTTAAATCAAATTAATAATATCTATAAAATAAATACATGTTTATATACATTAAATAAATACTTACTTAAAACTATTTAAACATATATTTATTAAGAGTGATTCAATTCTTCTAGTTTTTAAGTTAAAAAAAAAAACACATTTTTTTTCATTGTGTAGATTTCTCTCGTTTGGCTATAATAATTTTGAATATAACGATTTTAAGATTAAAAATAATTACATTGCGATATGTATTATTAAAAGATAAATAATACCTGAGCAGATGACACGTCCACTAATAGAACCGCCACCAGCAACGCGACCAACAGCAGCTGCAGCTTTGTCGACATTGCGATTTCTGTGATAAATTAATGATGAGTATATGAAAGATGCCTTCCTTGTAAAATAATCGATCTAAAGTAGAACGATCTCAATCTTAACGAAGTTTGATAGCATCCAGAGTGCAGTAGTATCTTTATGATTTCAGACACGTTCCCGTTACTGGCAGTTTACAAGCCTCGTAAACTACGACCCATTCGTTGTGGGATACATCGTATCTTCATAAGTCGCTCTAGAGAAGTTTGGCTCGCGTAATTGATCAAATTAACCACCACGATTCAGGAAGGAGGACTTAACGTAAACTATTTTCGTCCTCTACTTCCCTCTTAAGTAAGACTCTAGAAACTCGGATTATTATCAATCGAGCGAGAGCTCTTACTTGACGATCGGATTCTATCCCTCGAGGAGCCATTCATCGAAAAACTTTTGAAAGCTCCCGAATTCTGTATGCGCCGCGAAAGCGGCTGGTAGAAAAGTTGAGATTTTTCTCGGAATAGATTCAAGTTTCTCGGTGCGTCGAAAGGGGTTAATATCCCTGAGCTAAATCGGGTGCAAGCAGGTCTGAGCGTGTAAATAAATCAGCCATCATTTCTCGCGCGTAATGCTTTATTGCCGCGGCGGTTTTCAGTTGATATCGGCATGAAAATGAAACGAATGACATTTCCTTGCGACACTCGTACTAACTCGTACTATTTCAAAAAAATCGACGATATAATGCGAACACGCACGCACGCACGCACGCGTACATGGCATCGATCAACGCGAGCGCGGGTCAACGCGAGAGACCAGAGATAAATCTCGCGGGACCTTAATAGGAGCAACGAAGCGATAACCCAGATATTTGAAAATCAAGTCGCTTTGGATACATCCGGACGAGTCACGAGCGCGCCTTTAATATATATGACTTCATTACGACGCTGTCTTTTCTTCTTGTCTCTTCGCTCTCGTTGCCTTTCACGGATGATACAATCGGTTTACGCGTCGCCGACGTTAATTACAGCGCTTTAATAACGACGAAGGACGCGCCCGTGTAATGTAACGTCAGCAATCGGTTGTTGCCTTCGTCAGCGATGAAATTTTGAACGCCATGAAATTTGTGCGAGTTCGACTTACAGATTTACATGATCGTGTAATCTCCGTACGTTTAATGCGTAACTTTTATTTAGACGCAATACTACTTAAATACAAATACTCGTATATACTTTGATTGTCATGCGTGAACAATTGGACCAATTGGATATACTTATGTAAGTCCTATGTAGGTGCATCTCTTGTATTAATTTGAATACACACACATTCCATAAATATTTTTAGAAACACGTATAAATATTCATAAACATGTATAATTATATGTGAAATATGTCCATACATGGTTCATACAGCCTTCTTTTTTTTGTAAAATTATTTTTTAGTGTAATAGAAATAATAATAGTAATGTGAAAACATAAAAAATAATTAAAGGGATAATTTCCGCATTATTTGTTTCAGAAAAAAACAAGTTTGGAAAAATTAAAAAAAATTGCTCATACATAATTATGCATAATTTTATATATAATTATACATAAATAATTTTTTTTACATTTCTTTAAACTTGATTTTTTCTCAAAAATAGTGCGAAAATTACCTTTTTAATTATTTCTAATGTTTTCACATTATTATTATCATTTCATAAATATTACACTTAAAAATTTTACAAAAAAAAGGGATGTATGAACATGTATGGACATATTTCATATATAATTATACATGTTTATGTATGTTTATACATATTTATACATATTCATACATGGAAAAATTTTTTTACCGAGGGCTTATTTTAAATATTTTTGTGGTCTTAGATTGCATAGATCATGAACATTTATTATAAATATTATGAAATATTTATTGTAAATTTTGTAGTAAATGCTGTGAAAATACTTAACGAAACCATATTATATAATTCAAATAAGAAGTTCTTGACAGAAATATTTATTTATATTTATCATAAATATTATATTAGATATTTAGTCCATCTTTTAATAATATTTTGAATAAAGCTTTATATAAAATACGTATAAAATATTTATACATTTCAAAAAATAAATTATAATAAATATTTATTATAAATATTCTGTCTGGATGGGATCACAATTAAATGAAAATTGATCCATTCATACAATATACAAATATATATTATATTCTCTAAAATTTTTAGAATAAATCTTATTCTAAAGAGTGAAATCTCTTAAAGATTGAAACTCTTTTCCAAGACTAGTTCATCTTGAAAAACTAGATATTAAGATTTAAAATTCTTTTTATTTTAATTACACATATTATTTTCGATATTTTATTTAAACAATCAATATGTCGTTTAAAGGATAAAAAAGAGTAAGAATGAACTTGGAAAAATACTTATGTGAAATTTGCAATCTATACATATCGCCGGAATATAAATATCCTAACAATACTATGTATAGGCGTTTGGTTAATAAAACATGAGCTTTTCCTATTATATAAACACAATTACTTGGCTTGCTGCCAAGTGTTCCATCCAATTGTATTTATGAAATGTCCACAGTTCGTTAATTCAACGTTTCGATAAGCTGATGAATTCAGAGGACAACATGCGCCATTTTTTCACTTTCCGCCAACCAAGGGGATCATGTGATACAAACAATTGGAACTAGATACAAAATCAACGTGATTTGTATACTCTCTAAATTCTTTAGAGTAGAATCTCATTCCAAAGAGTGAAAATTGAGCTAATTTCGAAAAAAAATGTCTCAATTTTCAATCTTTAAAAGTGAGATTTTACTCTTTAGAATGAGATTTATTCTAGAAGTTTTAAAAAGTATATTTGTGCATTGTATGAACGCGCTATTTATTTTCATATTAAATTGTCCTACAAACAATTTTTTAAAATAAAATTTTCGATAAAATTTATCGAAAATTAATATAAAGTAAAAAATACGTGTAATATAATATATAATATATGTATATTATAGTATAACATAATATTTGTATATCAAATACAGTAGCTACATATATATATATATATATATATATATATATATATATATATATTATATTACAGCTATTTCTGAATCTCTATTCAAGATCTGAACAATGTCATTTTATAGTCATAAACCAACATAAACTGTAAAAAGATTTGATCAAATATGAAGTAAAAAAAAAAAATAATGATACACTCATACTGTTAGAAAAAAATGTACTACATTTTAATAAATATTTATTTGAATAATGCCAGTTGAATATGTTAAATATAAACATATATTTATTTTGTACGAGAACCGTTAATTTGGTTTAACTATTATTTTTTATTTAGCAAATATATTTCTCTTCTGTAAATAAATACATTAGTGCGTTTATTAAAATTTAGTACAATTTTCTCTTACTGTACGTAGTCCGTTTTGCGCGTTTTATAATTTACTAATTTAAATTTCGTAATTTTCATAACTCTCTTCGTTCGCCAAATCGATTATTGAAACAGTAATCGTATATTATCAATCGTGTGGTATCTATACATTCGGGGAAGTTAATCTTATCGAGTATTCACGATTTCAAAAAATTACGTAATTCTTTATTTTGATCGCTACACGATACGTAACTACCGCGTAGCCGAACCGAACGAGAGAAGAGTAAAGATTTCCATATGTAACATGTCAAGATCTCGAGTCTTCTCCATATGGAGAACGTGCCGGTCGCAATGATCGCCCGGCAGTCGTCTCGACGTCGAAGTGCGTCCGCGATGCGTCGCGCGGTTTCTCCGGAAACGCTCGTTCTCCAACGCAGCCGCGCGCGTAGGAATCGCGGCACATGGCCTCTTTTTTTTTATCGCGCGGTTCGCCGACGTGGGCGAAATGCCTCTGCAAGTGGACGAAAGGAACGAAAATGTTATTCCTTTATAATACAAAAAAATCGCGCCTTTACAGCTGTTATTACCTTTACACGGAACAACAAAGTTCGCATATCAGAGACGTTCCAATCTCTGGAAGATCGATCTTTTCAAACGACAATAGCGATCTTAAACCGATCTATTTTGCGAAAAAAACTTGACTTTTCGAAATAAAAGAGACTACCTTAAACTGACTCTCTTTGTAAAAAATTCTTCTTTTTAAAACAAAGAAAACTATTTTGAAGCGAAACTTTTTTGTAAAAAAATCGATTTTTAGCAAATAGTTCACATGTCTATCGCATGGTCCAAAACTTGATAAGGACTAATCAATATAAGCGCCGGTTCTTTATAATTACAGTTAAAGTTACACAATTGAATATCTAATAATACACAAGTCAGCAATGGGTGCAATTCAAAGCACCCATGAAGTAAAAAGCAACCTGCACACGTGAATAAACTACAGAAGAATCATGAATTTTATCAATTAAAATTAAAATTAATAAAACAAATACCAAAATGCCTTTGATTACAGCTTCTGAGAAAGAGTAAATGGATGCATTGTATAAAAATGAAACAAAATAAAATAAATACTCGAGTTTCTATTGTTAAAAAGAGGTGGCTAAACGTTGGAAGTGGAACAGAATTTTCCATCGAAATAGAATACAATAATGTAGATGGAGTCGTGCTTGTGAACATTTTATTTTTATTTCATTTTATTTTCAGTTCTATTTACTTCGTCTATATTTCCTTTGCAAAGCAGCCATTACGTTCATAAAATAATCTAATCCCATAAAATTGAGAATATCGTGAATGTTTCTTCGTTATTAGTCTTACGTGCCAGCTCCGCCAACGCGGAATTAAAAGTTAACTAGTTTGCCGACGAGATACTCCAGTTAAATGCGTTGATTCGATTCATCTTGTTCAATCTGCTTGTCGACGAGCGGAAGTTTATGCACGACTTGATATTATTACGAATAATAAAGTGTATGGAACGCATATGTATAAATCCTAACGGAAAATTGCTCGTAAATCCGTATCCGTAAAATGATTATAAAGGAACTGGATCGTGAAAGACTGTTGTAAAAATTGTATGTAATACGACGATGCATGTAGAATTCGAGCAAATGTTTTCAGAGATAGGAGTGTCTTTATCTATTTTCGTTATTCTTTCTCACTTTCCAAAGAATGCTTTAGTATATTTATTATTCTTCTTATATGTAAGCTTGTATGTAAGCGTGCGTTCATTATGAAAGAATAAGTACTAAAAAATAAATTCGCGTCTTCTTATCGATCTTAGTCTTGAACTCTCGGGATATCGTGCGGTGTAGTGTGACGATATGAGAAGAGGTCGAATGAATGGTCTACTGGAAATAACAAGTACAGGACATCACTTCTATTTTAAGTCGCTAATAGAAAATTATGAATTTCGCACTTTTAAGGTGAACTTTCTACAGGTGAACTATTGTACACTTTTTGGAACTTAATGTGAAGTAGATATATTTGATTTTTGGCGAAAACGAGAAAGAAAGTTCTTAGTGCAGAAATAAAAATAAGACTTATCATTTACGCTACTCGTCGCAATTGATTTCTTTTCCATTCATAACTTTGTGGCAATCGCAATAACCGATACAACATAATGTAACTTGAAACATAATGCGAGAATTTGTAGTAAATGACAGTAAGATGTAACGATGACACATCTTTTCCTTAATTTGCGCGTCAATGAACAAAGGATGTTGGATTTCCGTCTCAGAAAGGACATGATTTCCGAGAAATATATGTGTGACAAGAGATAAGTATTATAGTTGTGAGTACGCCCACTGATATGAAACGTCTATCGTATGCAGTTCTCCGTGTGCAAGTGACTCACATTAATCGCTGTGTGTGAAAATTAATATGGTTAAGACACTTTTATCGCTGTAATTTTATTTGGAATACATCACTTTTATCTTCTTCAGTTATTTTACTTATAGAAGATACTTTCAATCTGACGATAAAAATTGATGGTGTAAACTTCGAGAAGCAGAAACTAGTTCTATTACAAGAAGCTCAAGGAATTTCGTTAAAATAAGAGAATCGCTAAAATCATTCACGAAAAGATTTTTCGATGAAGGTCCTTTTCATGTTTGAAATCTCATTGCCAGCTATCTAGTGGTAGTCTTTATTTCCATATCACTCAGACACATTCAGGTACTTACTTATTCTACAATACGATATCATTCTTCATTCGTACACAAACATCTAAAAAGTAATTTTGCTACTAGATTAAAAAAATTTAATATATAAATTAAAAGTATTTAAAAAAGTCAACATTATTATTACTTCGGAATAATATATACTTATAATCTACATTAAATGATACACTCGTAAAAAATGTAATTTATTTAGATTAATTATTTCAATGATTTTAGTGCCTGTGGAATTAATATTGTATTTTAAAACGTATTCAGATTAATAAAACGCACAACATATTATTTTAATAATATAATTAACATAACATTTCCTACAATATAATGATCTATATTTGAATAGATAATTAAATGGGCTATTTATATACATTATACATTAATCGATAAAAATAGTGAATAGTGCTCGGAAATATTTTAAACGTGGAAGCTATAGTTTTTACCTCAATGATATATTTTGGCAAGGCAGTATATGAAATGAAAAATCATAAGGTTACCGTACCTCGCGTTGGCTTTCTTCGCAAATCGCTTCTGTCGTTCTCTTCTTCAGCAAGAAAGATTAAGAAAAGAACAGCCCTCCAAATCAGTCGCTGGACCGGTACAGACTGCGTTCGCGAGGCACATTGCGGCGCGGTGCCATGCCGCGCCGAGCGGAACGCGCGGCGGCCAGAGAGGAGAGATGATCTCATCTCTTGCGTTTTTCTCTCTTCCTACACCCTCATCTGATCTTTCCGTCGTACGCGTACGCGTATGCCCGCAGTCACATTCTTACGCAATGCACGCAACCGATCACCTCGACGATATCTCAAACGTTCTCATTCGTCTCGGCGAATTTCGACATTGGCACCCCCGAAGGGTTGACGACACGGATAATTCGCAAAGATTCAAATAAAAAACACTCCAATGAAGGGTGGTGTCAGTCCGAGCAAAATATAATGAATCTTAATGTAATAATCAACCTGTAACTTGTCCAGTTATAAGCTTGCTCTGAAAATAATATGCTACTCTAAAACTTTTCGTGTGAATCGAAACTGGCTCAATTTTCTCTAGAACGAAATTCTGCACTAAAGAATTTAGAGGGTAGATATTTTAATTGAAGTTAGGAAAATAATTAAAATGTAATGTAAAAAATGAAAAATTATAGGGGGAATGCATTTTTAATCACAGTTCCATCAATACATCACACAAACGATAGTCGGTTAAAAAAATTAATAAAATAAAGAAAAAATGAAAAAACCTGTACAGTATTTTTTTCTGCCAAGATTTGTATTTTATGGAAGATTAGAAATTCTGTGTGCGAACAATGTCGACATTATTTTCGTCGTACATTTTATTCTCGACCGCCATCAAATGCTGATGAATCCACAGAGTGCTCAGCAGTTTCGGCAAAGCCGATTATAGAGGAAACGTGACTCTATGCGCGAGACCAGCTAATAAAGTTCATACCAAACAGGTAAGCGTGTTGTGATAAATAAAGAGATGCTATAATAGGGGTTGGTAGTATAAGGTAAGTATATATATATATATATTATACTAAATGCAAAAAGTTACAATACATTTGATGTTCGTTTTTTTCACTTTTTTTTCTCCTTTAACATTATTCTCTCATCCGTCTTTTATCGCAGTAACGTTTCAATTGGTTATACACACAAACTGGCCTGGCAGACCAAAATAATAATGTATACTACAAAAATTCATAACCACCGTCCTTTAGTTATTACAGTTATTTGTGTTTTCTTCATATCCTCTGTCTCTTTTCTTCGTTCATTATTATATTTATCTTTATTATTAATATTAATAGTTACTTAAAAACGAAAACATTCACACTAAAAATTTGCAGAGCTTTCTTTCAAGTTATGTAAAGCGATGATCTCGCGTAACTGCGGCTTTGAACACGTTGTACTTGAACACACGGATATGCACATGGATAAGGACGTAGTGAAGTCAAACGGCGCGCGTATGGCGTGTAATATTTTATATTAGGTGGCACGCGAAAATCGGAAGTCAATTTGCGATTTCAAATATTAAACAACTATGTCGCTCAGCTTAAAATACTCTTTCTCTCTCTCTCTCTCTCTCTGTCTGCACGATTGCGCTGACTGATAAACAAGTATCGAATCGATCTTAAGTTGGGATAAAAATGATGGAGACGGTTTACCGTTTAATGTACAAGAGGATCTAGAATGACAATTCTCTTTTAGCCATACAAATATTAGTTTAAATATATGCTCTACATATGTATACAAAGTTGTGAAGCTCCTGGCGCTTCAATGTCTCAAAATCTCTTTAGTGTCACATTTATCTCTCACATACCGTGAAAAGAGAAACATTTTACCATAGTAAATGTTACAGTAATTTAAATCTTGTTTAAAGCGATAAATATATTTGCTAAACAAAGTGCAGGTCACTGCAAAAATTTTGCCTTAACTGAGCATGAATTGTATCTAATATCACCATACTATATTCAAATTTAATTTCTTCTTTAACACTTTGACTGCTATATTTTACAGTTATGTGCATTATATTCAGTTTTCTTGGGAATTATGGCACTTACGCATACGAATGACTCTTATTTTAATTCGTATTTGCCATTCGAAATGTGACTGAAGCGAGAGAGGTAAGATTCTTAATCTTTATGGGAATGCCATGGTTTCCAAGAAATTGCGGGTGAAATTTCAGTCGAAGTGTTAAGAATTCGTAACAAATAACGTTCTTCAATTGGTATGTTTTACTTGATGTTAAAGAGGATGTCATATAAAAATATAAATATGTCTATACAATAATTTTTTGAAAATATAAAAAAAAATATTCTTGAAAATGATTGTTTAATAGTTCAAGTAGATCAAAATTTTCATATTAGAATAAAATGATTATAATTGAATGAAAGGAACATGAAAGTGACCTATCTTAATTTTGCGATCCTCTCTTTCATAATCACATACGCAACATTCTGCCGCAAGGAAGAGAGAAGTGATAAAGTTGAGTGCTCCATCCTGTATATTTCTAGTTCAGATTTAATGATCAATTTTTCTTTTTTTTTTTTTCGCTTTTTTTAACAATATTAAAGTATGCCAATTACGTGATAACTACCGACAAAATTCCGGAAATACGTTTCCACGCGTTACTAAACTAACTTATAAAGAAGTAGGATAAAAATGGGTCGAATCTTCATTACTTCCTACGTAGCGCTTTTTTTTATAATACCTATAACGGAAAGATAGGCTTAAGAATTGCGAGATATTGTATACCCAACAAGAACGCATGTTTGAGATGCTTGTCGGTTTTACTCGTACCTTTTTATTGGTTTTTAACTACTTTCCGAAAGAAAGCAAATCGCAGCTACGCGAAACCTATCCCTTTGTCCGCGTCTGCGTCAGAGCGGCCGCGTTATCATCGCCGCCATTGTCATTATATCATTGTCACTTATCAGTCTGTCATCGTCATCGTTATGTCGTCACTGTCCCGAGTCTTGTTAAACGAGACACTAACATCGCGTATAATACTACATGACGAATATTAATCCCTAGAGTGCATGCTTAAAAAAATGTAGCGTTAAACGAGGCGGGGCCCCCGAAGAGGAGGCGCGGTCGCCGTGTCCCAGACGCGGGGCATTGCGACGAGTTTTTTTTTTACTTTTTTCTTTTCAATTACAAACTACTGCGGATGTATCGCGCTCGTGCGTGATCTACGTTAACAATCTCCATGATCTTGATCACGACGACGAAGAATACAAACTAACAAACTTTCTTTCTCTCATGCTCTCTCTCTCTCTCTCTGTCTCGCTCTTTCTCTTTCTCTTTCTCACTACTTATTGTCAAATGCAAATTTTTAATGTCCTTTCTTCATCAAAACAAAAAAAGGAAAATTAAAAATTAAAAATTTGCTTGACGTTACTTTCTACTACAGTATCGCGCGGATTTCAGACCATTCGCTTTCAAAATTCCGTTAGTATCGTAAAGGAATGAAGGCTGATAGGCCAGGAGAGATGCATCGCTCAATCTCTAATAATCACAGGATCCTTCTCGTGCATTGCTTGTGAGCGTTGCTGACTAGAACTCTTGTTTCACTTCATACTCTAAGTAGTCTACGACATATGAATGTATTTCGTCAAAAAAATGTGAACGGATAATATTGTCCCGAGAGAAATTGATGCGTTATATTCCGAAAAAGTTATTGCTCACATAGCACGAAAATATTCTGTCGCTACGATGGACATATTTCCGCACTGTGTGCATGGTTTTAATGCTCACATTTAATGCTTGACGTAGTATGAATTCTGTGATTACCAGAAGACATTGACTCTCGTGAAAACGCTGCCATGCAACTGATAATTTAGCGATTGGGCGATACAACGTCAGACCATGCGCGTGCGCGATCCTTATTAATTTTACCTAAACGAAAGTAAGAATAAGTATGTACGTGAAGGGAAAGGGAGGTAGATGCTAGAATAAAAAGAGTCTAGGAGAGAAGACAGAGTAGCGCAGAAAAGTGTGTTTCTAGAAGAAAAGGGATAGGAAAGGAAGGTAAGACCAGAAATAGGATAGGAACAAAAAATTCCGAACTGCAACGAGACGCGGCCAGGATTGTTTACTTGTATGCGGATGGAGCAAGGGAAAACGACGAAACCAGTTACTGCAGTTAAAAGCATTGTCCTGTCTACGATCGATACCGATCAATCGATGATCGGTAATATAAATAAAGGAGAAGATCGTAGAAAAAAAGAAACTGTCGCCTTTTCTTTTATTTTTTTTTTCTGCTGCGTGCAACCGAGACAGTCTTGGGATCCTGTAATCGTTTCGTCGGGATTTGTTCCGTGCGATTTTTATCTACGCTGATTCTTCACTTGGGGCAACGGGATGTTTTCATTAGCGGTTGATGAGTCGACTCAAAAGCGTATGAGATTTATGCATGTCACAACGACACTCCTTCATTCGCTTCGCTCTCGCTTGGTCGTCCCTCGCTTAGTTACGTGGTATGTGCGTGCACCGGAATTCGCTCCGCTGCCTTTTCGTCCTGCGATTTGGCAAGCCGGAGGAAACGCGCGGAGTGACGAATGTTGCACACTACTCAGAAACCGTCTCACAAAGAGTTTCGACACAATTTCCCCGATTTCAGATCACGTTCCGTTGCTTTTCCGTTTGCACTAAAATTTGCCACACTCCGACAACGTTCTCCTGTATGCTCTTCTTGTCGTACGGTTGCACGTGTATGTGTATGTATGTGTCTATGATTGAGAGTACTTCGCGTCGCAAAGTCCTACGGGATTGCCCGATTGTCGATGTACGAAGGACGAATTCGAACCAATGATCATCGCCTGACCGATGATTTCAGATACACACACCATTAAACTCAAAGTCTCGCGTGAGAAGTGATCCTCGGTCGAGATTTCAATTGGCACGCCATCCATGTTCGAGCTCATATTTCGTACGATTCTTTTTTGAGCTACGTCAGCTAATGTCGGTTGTTGCTGTTGCTTGACGAACGTCGTTGCAAGCGACGTTTAAGCATGAGATTGGCGTCAGTGATGAGGTCGTGCGACATACGAAATAGTCCTGGATTCCGCTTCTTGAAATGAAGATGGCAGATGTGTGATGGTACCGGTGACTTTATTCAGTATAGACGAAATTAGAAGGAGGCTGTTGCGTAGTATGGCCGGTATTAGCGACGATTTTGGTAGCCGGGATTACTCGGATTGCCTGGCTGTCGCATGCCGCCACCCCTACCGCCGTCACCGCCTCGTGAAAAACCTCCACGGCCACCTCGTGCACCGTGCTGTCCACCTCTCATTACGCCTCCGGGTCCGCCTGAATTAAGTCAATAATGAATTGGTAAATAAAAAAAGTTTACTAAGAAAATTAATAAAGTGAAAAATAATCTAAAAATTACCTGGTCCACGTTGCTGTTGCTGTTGCTGCTGTTGACCACCCATGGAGCGCATGCCACCATCGCCAGAGTTCAATCTGCCACCACTACCATCCAACATGGGCCTGGGTCGCACCTTCTTTTCTTCTACATTCAATTTTTGTCCACTCTCGTCAGGATAATAAATGGGCTGAAATGATTATAGTCAAAGCAACAAGTTCTATCTCTATTAAATGAGACGATGTATATGTATATCTAGGAGGCAAACTTACCAAGGAATTTAACACCTTAGTCACAACCTGTTGATCCTCGAACGTGATAAATCCATAATTAGGTACTCGAGCGGTATTATTTCCTTGCGGTTTACATCTGTCATTCGATTTACTGTGCACGCGTAATTCAGCAACTCTACCATAACGTTCGAATACTTGACGCAAATCATTTTCAGAGGCGTTGTGTGGTAAGTTGCCCAGGAAAAGTTGATGAGCGTCACTGTACTGTCCCGGTCTTGTGCCACGACGTTCTCCGTCTAAGATAGATAATTACATGTAATTATGTGCAAAACAAAATCCTATTAAAAAAAAAGAAAATGAGAAATTAAGTAATTAAGATAATTAAAAAGTAACTAATACAAAAATAATCAAGAATGTGTGGCTAAAAGGACTCATTTCCATATTACTTTAAATATGGAAGTTTATATTCTGCCTTCTAAGTTATTTTATTTTCTTTTTTTTTACCTTGTCCCCTTTGTATTAGTCCCCTTTGTACTAGTCCCCAGTTCTTTTTACCTCTTTGAACTAATCCCCCTCTTGGAACGCGTTGCTGCTGAGGATGCTGCTGTTGTTGCGGTGGTTGATTTCCGCCCACTCGATGCGCCTGTTGCTGAACTGTTGATACATTATTGGATATAGACATAGACGTCGGTCCGTTATTTGCAGGATGTAATGGCGACCTATCGTCCAAACGTAGATTCGTCATAGGTGGCTGTAAAGAAAAAGAAATTTATTCATCTTCTTCTTCATATTGCAAATGACATTACGCCAAACGAAACTTACCGGCGATATCGATAACTTTGGAGCTTGAGGACTAGTAGCACCAGTAGGACCGCTTGGGAAAGACTTTACCAAATTAGCATACGTCTTGGGTCCGCTGCTGTTGACAGTAGCGCTGGATACCTGATGTTCGGGTTCGGTCTCTTGTACGGATGCAATAAATGCTTCTGTCTCGGGTTGCTCATTCTTTTCCTCTGTCTGGGCCTGTGGCTCATTCTCACTTTGTTGTTGTGGCTGCTCGCCATTGCTTAGCTCTGCCTCCTGTACAAACTGGGATTGAGCAGCTGGTTCGGCTATATATGGATGTTGCTGTGCAGGAGGCGGTGGCGGCGGTTGTTGTTGTTGTGGTTGTTGTTGTTGTTGTTGTTGTTGCTGCTGCTGCTGCTGTTGCTGCTGTGGCGCTTGTTGATTGATCACCTCCTCGTGCACCGTTCCGTTCAACACTTGCTGTATCACCGGATGAACCTTACCAGTAAAAACAAAAAATAGAAAATTGCATAACCCATGGTAAATTATAAATCTGAAAAATTTAATTCTTTACTAATTAAATCTGAGCATATAGAAAAAATTGTTTGCAACTTTAACCTTTAACCGGGCGCGCCGCGGCACTGAGTGTCGTAAAACTTGTTTTTCTGAAAAATAATTGATAATGCAGGTCTTTTTTTATTACCGACCTTCGGTATTCCTCATTTAACGTTAAATTTTAATATTATATTTGATTATAAATATATTTTACTTGCTTTTATAAAGATTGTCCAATTATTTATCCAATTAATTATTATGATTTCTAAATAATAAATCTGTGATGCGGCACTCAGTGCCGCGCGCGCCCACTAATATTTGGCCAGGAGGCGCGCCTCCTAAGTTAAGAGTTAAAAACCTTAATTTTTCGATGCAATAGCAATAGAAGATCAGATGATATCGGATAAAAATTGTTCATAATTTTAGACGCGTATAGCAGCATTTATTAAGACACTGACAAATCCACTTGTACGTGAGAGCCAAGATCTCTCCATATTAAGAATAGGGGCAGTATTGTTTGTGAGTTATTTTGTTGTATAGCTGTTGTTTATACCAGCACAAAGTTAATTTTAGCAATCAGTCGCATTATTACATTGTAAGTCAAATTTCATTTTTAATTCATAATATAAACATATATTCTTTAAATTGTGTATTTAAAATCTTTCTTGTTTTATTTCGTTTCATAAATTGTTTTTCCAGTGAACGTAATTTAGGTGATATCAGATAGCCTTAGACTTGCCTTTGACAAACTGTGTTTTGTTTTAGGTGAATATGGAGAAGATACGAGGTAAAAGGGAGAAGAAAACGTAAGTAAAAGATAAGGAAATAATAATAGAGGAGAGGAAATTACAAATTACAATATTCTGTTCCAAAAAGTATATTAGGAGATAGATTAAAAGCTACTGAAGCAAGAGATAGCATTAAAACCATGCACAGATAATACTTTGTAATAAAAGTTTTTTTTTTTTAAATAAATATTTCTGTCCAATGCCATCTTCTAATTTACAAAAAAAAAACCAAGAAAATATGATATTTAAAAAAATGTAAAAATTTAGGTACTTCTACATTAAGAAAAAAAACAATTATAAAAGTGTTTTGGTAGAAGAATAACGTTTCATAAATACTTTTACGTATACTATATGTAGTTTTTGTCGTCCAAAAAAATAAAATTTTGGAAAAACATAAACTGTCCGATACCATCTGACTTCCTTTTATGTTTGTTATACTAACGTGTGGTTGGGGTGGCGCAGCGTAATACATCGGCTGTTGTTGCTGCAGCGGAGGTTGCTGAGTCGGAATGAGAGGCGGTTGAGCTTGCTGCTCAGCAGCTTGAGCAGGAGCCGACAGTTGCTGCGCCTGAGTTTGATGTTCATCTTCCTCAGGTTCAGATCGACCAATTTCCTCCACTTCTCTTTCGCCGCTCTCACCACTATCCCCAGCACTCACGTCAGCCTCATCTTCATCGGGGAATATCAAATCTTGATAACGGAAGATATCATTGTGCACATAGTAAGTTTTGGGTGCTTGCACAGCCAATACGAAAGTCTGAGTGAATCGACGCATTGGTTGTCCAGCGTTAGACAGTTCTCCGGATACCTACATTACAATAAAACATAAATATGTAATTACATGTAAGTAATAATTATATGTTTATTAAAATCATCATCATAAAAATTTCATAAAAATATGATATTTTAAGTAAATTAAAGGCTATATAAATATTATTTAAAAAATGAGTTGCGTTAAAAAATTAATGATGCTTCGTGAAGATGATATATGCAATATTTTAATACATAATAATATTAAATTTCTACTATTATATTCTATATTAGGAAATAAAATACAATTGTAATCATATCTGTTGTAATCGTTTCTGGCTAATGTTAAATTATGTTATGTAATTTACCTGGACAACAACTCCATTTTCAAGAGTAAGCTGAGAATCAACTTGGCTTATTTTGGCATGGCAATCGCGAAAGTTCAGTTGTTGAATCTTCTGATGTATTTGTTTTTGACCGATCGCCGGGGTACACTCTCGATTAGAATCTAATCCGCCGTGCACGAAGGAAGAATGCTGATTGTAAAACCTAATCGTAAAATTTACAATAATTATTGCGGCGTTCGAAAAATATTTCTGCAGGAAATAACGCGTTGCTTCATGAAGAGCAATTAACTTAAAATATTTGTTCGCATTACTTGTACTTTTTGCATTCAGGATCTTCACTTTCTCTCTCAACAATCGAATATATATTTATCTCATTAAAGTTTTTGTGATTTCAAGCAACGCGAATAGACTTCTAGTTGGCAGATTCCGGGTTCGATTCTGATCCCTTAGGATGCTTCTCCATGACAGTCGGAATTTTGGAAAACAGAATCTCAGAAATCATATGACCAATCAATCATTTAAAGTTAGCACGTTGTACAAACGAATGATTATGATTGGTCTTATTATTTTTTCGAGATTCCATTTTCCGAAATTCCGATTATTTTATGGGAAAGCACCCCAGGACGCTAATATATTACTCCATATATGGTTAGAGTCAGAAGAGGTTGAAATACAAACTCGTTAAACACACATGTTTACTGCGAAGCGTTTTATATAGTCAAAAAAACCTTAAATATTATGAAGAAAAACGTTAGAGAAGACTTATGTGCAACAGTTGAAAGACACCAATGTCTGTTTACTATTATTAAATTATTGTTATTCCTTGAATAAAATGAGCTTATTATAAAAGATAAAAAAATCTACAGCATAAATTAAATTGGAAAAATATAGCTTAGGCAACATTACCTGTGGAGGTGGGCAGGCGCCTGATTCAGCAATGTATAATACTGTCGGACGAACTCACGACCGACACTTTGTGGAGAGGGAGATGCCTCCATGACCATCTTCTTACTTTTTAACTTCTAGAATATTTTTTCGCTGGAAACAGCAAACTAAACGTTCAAATGTAAAATCTTAAAATTATTAAGGCAGATATCTGAAACAAAAAAAAAATACATTTTTGTTAGAGAGCATCGCGGTATAATTATAACATAAAATTGTGGATTAAAAAGAAAATTATTAGATTTGTGAACAGGATATTTTTTAATACACTTTTAAATATAATTTATAATATTCAAATATATTATAAAGTTTTTTTCATGTTTCAGTACAATATTTAATTAAACAGATCAAAAGTATTGTATAATGTTAAATTTAAAATATTTATTTAGAAATACAATTAAATTTGTTTATTAAATTTATAAAATTAATTAAATTATAATATATTTAGAGATAATATCTCTCACAGAGCATGTATTAAGTGAATAATATTTCTTAGAAAACACGTGGCATTCTTATTATAACGAATAATCAAATATAAATATCTTTCATTATGCATACCAATTATGAGAGATAAATTCAAAAAATTTGTTTAAAAATGTAATTAATCATATGTGCAATTTAGCGTTACAAAAATGTATATTGTTAAAACAAAAGAAATCAAATTTCATCGTTTGAGGCATTGTCATCGCAGATATTTCGAGAATATATTAAACGCACGCACACATTCATTATGTAGACATAGTTAATGCTCTATATAAACGTATTATATTTTATAACTCATGAATATTTTATGATTCCATTTCTAATCGGATTTAAATTACTGGCTGATTTATTCAATGCCTGTACTACTGCGCTGAATTATTTTCCACATAGAAACATATTACGGTAATTTTCACGCGACGACCCATCCAGAATCTTCGAATTCTCCGAATCCCAGGTATACACGAGGTTGCATTTTCCCTTGCATGTAAAACCCATGGGAGGGAGAGGGCGAGAGGGGAAGAGAGAGGGGGGGATGTGCCCTCTGGAATCATCGTCGGCGACCTCGCGAGGGCTTAATTCCCCAAGCCCCCGCGAAAATCCAGTCTCGTTACGCAGCGCGCAAATAATCGGAGCGATACATGCGGCAAACACAAAGGGATTGGCGACGCGCGTAGCTCAGCGAAGCGCATGGCAAAATTTTCGCATGCCACTACCTCTCTTCCTCTCTTCTCCCCCCGCCCCCCACTCCACCCCTCCCGCCTCTCGAGGTCTCTTTGTCTCTCTTCATACCTCGGTCCTAAACCGCGCTGAGAATACTCGGCGTATCCTGCAAAGCACGTGTTTCTCAACCCCATTTCCTCGCGCATCCCCGTGCATTCCCGGAGTCCGTGGAGCAGGATGAAACAGAAAAGGGACGAGGAAGAGACGCGAGGAAGAGCAAGCACGCCGATGAGAGCGCGGATGCGATGGGAGAGCGAGATAAAGAAAGAGAGAAAGAGAGAGAGAGAGAGAGAGAGAGCGCGCGGTCGCGCCCGGTCGCTCGCACAAGCATGGCGATGTTTCCCGACGACTCGTACCGCGTATGGGAATACGCCAACGCGAACGAGACGCGACGTCGAGATTGTCGAGAGTCGGTCGGGCAGGGCGGATCGCAACGGCCTGGCTGAGATAGCCGACGGGGCATGGTCTCGGAGTGACGCGATTCCATCGTCGAAGGCGTGCGTCTCCCCTCACATAGAGCACGAGGGAGCGATGGATGGCCTCGGCGATCGCAATGATGGCATTGATGGCAACAATAAAGGGGGGAGGGGAGGAGTGGACTTACCTGATTTCAGGCGGTCTCGCGTGCGGCACACAGCGGGGACGC